TCTCTCTCTCGCACACACACAATTACATGCACACATCATACACAACACATCACACACACATGCACACAAATACAAACGCCACACACATTCACAAGCACACCACAACACAAATTCACAAGCACACCACAACACAAATTCACGCACCCACACAAAAATTCGTACTATGGTATGATTCGTATGCATTGTCGTGGGTGTATTAGGTTGAATTTAGGTTTCTTTTTGTTTATTTTTTGTAACTATTTTTATGGCATTCATCGGATTCTTTCACGTAATTGACGTTGGTTGTTTGAATTTGTGGTTGATGTTGATAAATAAAAAGAATTTGTATGTGTATGGTTGTGTGTCTTTGCTTGAACTTAGATGCCTTTCAAGCATGTTTTGATTGAGTCAGAATCTAATTCAGTGATCCAATGCATGAACCACCTTCTCAATTTAGCACATTAAATTTTCCAGGAAAGTTTACATATTTAATTTTGACATACAGCTTTTGATGGTGAAGCCATGACACTAATGTGTTGTTTTGCTGAATTTATCGTTTGATTAGCTTATTTAGGTCTATGATTGTGGGATTCATTCATTTGCTATTATGAATTTCGAACAAGACTCTAATTTGATAGCTTTTTAGGGTATAGTAATGAATTGTGTATGTAAGTTTAAAACTTTTGGAGGTCCTATTTTTAGAGGAATTGTAAATTGTAAGAATCTGAGCCTTGATGGAGGTTCAATTTTTTCCAATGGATGCATATTTTTCTAATTATCTTTTTTTTTTTTGTTATAAAGTGCCTTTAGGCATGAGAATCTATCTTAATAAGAAAGAATTGTTTTTGAAATGACAAATTTAGGGTACCACAAGAATGGTTGAGATCAATATAAATTGTTATGTTTGATGGTTTATTTCTTGTTGGACTGCAGTAGGAGACCCAAAAGTCATATTTCATGTGGTGTATGTTTTTGGGATGTTGATTGCTAAAGCCTCCTTTTTTTTTTGGTTTGGCATAAATGTGTTCTCATCATTGTGTTTTTTAGTTCACTATGTACCCATGTTGCTTAATGGAACCAAGTTTACTTAGATGAGAAGCAGAGTTGAACCTTGCACTTTCAAGCTTTGTCGTGGATAGTGAATTCTGAACTACGACATCATCTTATCATTAGATTATGCATTACAACAACATTATAACTAACCTTCCTCTTAATTGTTAAGATTATTTGATGCTCCGTTGAATATTGAGTGAAACTATGTGTTCCAATTATTTACAAAAATTCATATTTATGAGGAGCAAAATGCTTGCTAGCAGGCACAATTAACATATTGGGGAGTGTGGTTGGATTTTCATTGAATAAAGTTTGTAAAGTGGGTGTGGTTTGAAAGATGGAGTTCTTTTGCTGGGTATATCTGATTTTTTTTTTTAACTGATGATAGATGGTGGTGTTAATGGGTTATGTGGTGGGTCTATCATGGTGGTTTTGGGGATGTGGTTAACTGTCTACAATAGTAATGTTTATGGGTGGTGGGTTCAGCCTATGGTGTTAATAGTAGTGGTTATTTGTTATGGGTAGTGGGTTGTTCTGATAGTTTTGTGCGGCGAGTCTTTATGTTGGTTTTGGGGACATGGTATAACGGTCAACCCCCTCTTTCCAAAACACTACTCATTTTAATTGAAATATATGTATTTGATTTTTTATTTTTTATTTTTTATTGAATTTAGTGGTTATTTCTTTGGTGCTTGATTAGTGGTTAAAAAAAGTATCATTAAGGGTTGATTGAATGAGAGGACTAAATTTTTGGAGACCTTTGAAATTGAGTAAAGGGAAGTCTGGTAGCAAGTAACAAATAATTTATAATAGACTGTTAAGAAAGTAATGTACTATATTTATGTTAACTTGATACTTTGGGCTGTTCTTGACCCAAAAAAAGAAAAAAAAAAAAGAAGGCTTGCTAATTTTATGAAATTCAGATTCTTAATTTCATAAGTGTATTCCTACAAGAGTTAAGGCAATAATTGTATTTCAATAAGGTAACTATATTTATTATTTTGTGTGATAAATATGATCAACAACATCGATATGGACACAATGTGATTTTTTGAACACATTCCCTTTTATTTGATTTTCTAAATTTTTTAGTTCAAAAGACTAATTTTTAATTTTGGTGGAATTGAGTGGTTGAATGACAGTGGTTGATTAACACACGTAGACATATTTTGAGTGTTTTGTATTGGTTTGATATTTTGGGTGTTAATTTTTGTATTTTTTGATATTGGGTGTTAATTAAGTTAGTTTTTGGGTGTTAATTAAGTTTTGTAAGAATTAAATGCTAGGATTTCTATTTGGGATTGCAAGAAATTAATTGGGAAATTATAGTTGTTAGTAGCATTTTTTTTTTTGAATGTTAGTGTTATGGTTTTGAAATTTAATGATTTATTTGAAATTTAATTTTTTTTTTGATTGAATTAAATTTTTATTTGCAATTGAATATTTGATAGAAGTAGGTGGTTGAAAAATAGTGGCTTGGTTGGATTTAGTTTAACAAATTTGGTTTCATTTTCCAATTGTTGAACTCCCATCAATTTTATATGCTTCACACACACACACATAATGCACACCAACACACACACAACACTCACAACCCATACATCACACCCACTTAACAAACACACACCGCCCACCATATGTTTGACAGAAGTTTTCACAGAAGATATCACTTAAGTGTGCCCGCACACAAAACACACACACCCATCAGACACACACATAGCACCCGTCCATGCAGCAGACACCCACGCTCACAAAGTGCACCCCCCCCCCCCCCCCCCCCCCCCCC